GCTGGGAGGAGTGAGGAAGCAGACAGGCACCCTTTTCACTGGCCAACAGTTAACGGAAAGTTCACATTTTGCACTTTACCTGCCTCCCACGTGGGTTTTTTTAGTTCGTAACTCAAATCTAAGTACTTAAGTCAAGTCAATATTTTCCTATGGGAGCGGTTCTTAAGTCAAAATGTTCCTAACTCGGGCCGTTCTTAAGTCAAGACCCCACTGTATTATCCAAACATTCATTCATTCATTTGCTATTCTTCTATCCAAAGACACCTCTGCTGCTTAAAGACTTCTAGAAGAATTATGATTTAGAGTGCATTTCTAAGAACATGTACATGCAGTAGGTGTGATGCAAATTTTGAAGTGCAGGAAGTCTTCTTGAGTGTGTGTGTGTGTGTTTACATGCATTCAGGTACACACATACTGACACCAAAAAGCTACATTATTTCATAACACAATACCTAATTTCTTATGATATGGCTTGTGTACAGTTTAATATGCAGAGCTTCAAAAAGTTACTCTTTTGGATTACTTTCTACTTCCTGACCCCTCTCCTGCATCAGTACCGTGTTTTCCTGAAAATAAGACAAGGTCTTATATTAATCTTTGCTACAAAATGCTTTAGGGTTTATTTATTTATTTTTATTATTTTATTATTTGATTTATACCCCGCCCATCTGGTCTTCCGACAACTCTGGGCGGATGTTGTTAAGATTGGAGGTTGGTATGCTTGAAGAATTTTCGGGGGATGTTTTATTTTTTTCATGTATAACAATCTACATTTATTCAAATACAGTCATGCTATCTTCTTCTGGTTGCTGCACAATGGCTGGAAGGTGGGGTTTCACTTAACTGGGACTTGTTTTGGGGGTAGGGCTTATAGCATGAGCATCCTGAAAAATCATACTAGGGCTTATTTTCAGGTTAGGTCTGATTTTCAGGGAAACAGGGTAGAGCTAGAAATTTTGGGCAGTTGTAATGGTAAACCACTTCTGATTATTCTCTACCTGGAAAATCCTGAAAAGAATCACTGTAAGTCAGAATTGAGTTGACCACACACAATTATTATTTAGTCAAAAAGTAAAACTTTCTAAGCTTTTCCTGTGCATCATTACCTGACTAAAAGTTACCAAACTCAGTGTGCTTAACTCTGACTGCACAGGCTCAGTTTACAGAACACGCTGTGCTTTGAACAAAAATGTTTCAGCCAGTTTAAATGCAATCTTTAGATTTTTAATTAGAAGTTGCAAACGTGTGTTGCTTACACAAGTGCTTGGGTTGAAGGAAGCAAAGAGAACAACTGGTGCACATTGCCCATTTTGGGAAGAAAAAAGAAAAAGGGGAGGCATTTCCCTCTCTGGAGCAGGACCAAAGCAAAGAGGAAGGGCTGATACCAGGACTGGGGGAATTTCATTTTGTTTCTTTTTAGAAGCATATTCCAAAATCCTCTGATTACATCATATTGAGAATAGGAAGGATTTTAGAGTAGAATATGGCAGAATCTAAAACTGGCAGGTTTGTTCACCTAGGCTCTGAGCTTTAAGCAGCCATGTAATGGGATAAGGACTCTCTGGATGAAAGCATGGATTTTCACCATCATTATTATTAGCAGGAACTATGACAACACCCACTATCCCATTAGGCTTCTCTACGCCCTTAGTTACAATCCTCAGAATTACTAGTACAGAAATGGATTTTCCCAGGAAAAGGATATTGCTGCAAGTTTTCTCTGATATATTGCAAAGTATTGGAGGTTGATGATGTCTCAAACGGGCAACTAAAAGCCATTAGCTTTACAAAACACCTGCTCCTCTCTTGCAGCTACAGTTTGATCCAACTTCTTACAATTTTGGAGTGTCCTTGTGTAGCAGGAATGAGGACTATCACAATGAGCCCCTGCAGTTCCAAATATACCCCTTCACCTGTAGGTCTGAGTATTTAAGAAGTCTAAGTCTGAACCCACTTCTTTTGTTCATCTTTAACAGGCCCAGCCATACCTGTTGAGCGGGGGCAAGGCAAATAGCCAAAAATTTCATTCTCCTTACTGTATTTTTATTTTTTGGAAAAATGTCCTCAGATCTCCAAATTCTATAGGCAGGACTCAGAGAGGAGGGGGGGGAAGAGAGAGAGAGATTTAAATGTGGTGTCAAGTGACACAATATCCCACCCATTGTATGTTGAGGCATGGGCACAATCCCCCAAATGAATGAATGAATGAATGAATGAATGAATGAATGAATGAGGCACATTTCCTAAAAATCGCCCCCCAAGGGAAAAGTGCACAAGGCTGGGAGGCACTGCCATGGATCTTCCTAAAGCTCAGGAGATTCACCTCAGGTTTTTGGGCGCCGTTTCAATTCTGGCACCCTGGGGGGCAAAGCCCCCGTCGTCCCGCCTCAGCTATAGCCCTGGAGTCGCCAGTGATCTTTAGTTAAAGCCCCCCTGACAGCCCATCCAGGCCCGCTGTGTTCCTTCTGAGGAAGTCCAAGAAGCCAAGGCACCAGCGAGCTGGCCGACGACGCCTTTGGAGCCCCCGGGCCGCGCGCCATTCCCAATTCGGGGTTCTCTTAACCCCTGCGGAAGGCTGCGGCCGCCAAGGGCAAGCGCTCCGCGGGGGCAAGCGGTTGGTTGCGGCCGCCCCAGCGGCGAAGGGGCTTGCGGCTCGCCGGTTTCCAGCTTCCAGCTCCTCCTCCCGCCACCAGCCAGCAAAGGCGAGCCTTCTCCATAGGCTGCTGCTGCTGCTGCTGCCGCCGCCGCTCCTCTCCACGGCGCTGCTCCCCACCCCACCCCCAGTGGTGGTGGTGGCGGCGGCGGCTGCCAGGCCTCGAAGCCTCCGGTTCGGCGCTGGGCGGCTCTTCTGCTTTCTGGACCCCCTCGGAAACCCCTCTCCAAGTGGGCGCCAGCCTGGTCCCCGCTGAGGACGCCGCCTGAGGCCCGCCGGCCGCCTCGGCCAAGCACCTTCGCCGCGCGCCTTTTTTTTCTTTCGCCCAGCCCTCGCGTGGGCACCCCGTCCCGCTCGGAGACGCCGGGCTCCTCGCTCCCGTTCCCACCACCGTGCCACCCACCTTTCTCCGCCTCTGGCTTCCTGGAAGGGCCGCGGAGTCCCAGCCGGAAAGCCGAGGGAGGTTTGGGGGAGAGTCGGGCCGAGCCGGGCCGGCGCGTCTCGCCTTGGCACTGCGCGTAAATGGAGTTGCGCGCCGGCGAGGCGGAGACGACGGAGACGCGGCGTTGGGAGGTGAGAAGTGGGGTGAGAGAGTGGGGTTTGGGGGATTGCTCTGGGAGGTTGGTTCGGACCCTGCGGGGCTTGGCATGACAAAACCAATAGGGATCGCGTGGTCCTCTACAGAGTCCTCGGCTTGGAAGCACTGTGCGCAAGGACGGCACCGGGAGGGGGAGAACGAGGATCTCGTGTATTTTTGACACTGGGATCCCGCTTCCCAGGGAAAGCTCGGTTCCTAGGAATTCTTAAGAGATCGACTCCGCATGACACTGAGCTGGCTGCGCTTTCTCTTTCGCCGCGCCTCCGCAGGATCCGGACGCGAGTTTCAAAATTCCCCGTCTTTTTTGCCTTTCCTTTTCTTTCCCAGCAAAGTGGCCCTCCCCGCCAATAAATAAATAAATCCCAGCTCTCCAACACCATTTCATTGGAGAGAAAGCGACTCCCCGCCATCCCACCCCCTCCGACAAACCCGGCTCCTCGCCAGGGGAGGCTCCGGCGTGGGAGGACGAGGCGAAAAGATCCTCCTGTCCCGACCTTTTAGCGATCCCGCCCCTCGAAATGTCCGGTCCCTGAAATGTCAGGCGCCCAGCACCGTTAGGACGGGTCGAGCCACGTTGGGTCACCGCAGCTGCTTGAGCCGGCATCGCTTCCCCAACTCTCGATTCCCGCCTGTTTATACGGCGGCTGCCAATCCGGATCTCCCCTAAAGTAGGTTTGATCCCGTTGGGACTGCGTGCTGGAAAGAAAAAAAGAGAGAGGAAAGGGTGAAGGAGTCTCCATAGGGACGCGGGTTTCAGTTGTGGTTTGACTGCAGTGGGAGGTTGGTCGTCTTTTAAGGCGGAATAATTCTTTGGGGATATCAGAGGAATTGTTTTTTTGTTTTTGTTTTTAAACGACCATAGTTGTGGATTGCAGCTGGGTTGTGATGACACACGTTTGGGGGGACCGGAGAGAGAGGGCTGAAGAGTGAGTGACTCAGATCTTTCCCTTTCTTCCTCTGGGTGAGTTTTCCGCACTCTCCTCCCCCCCCTTGAGAAATCATGTGGAGGTGGGTTTGGCAGAACTTCTAGTGAAAGTGAGCAGGGGGTCATCACGGCCATTGGTTTTTGGCTCCCCAAACGGGCTGCGGAGATGCTTGGCAGCGGGCTCCTAGTGACTCCAGTGAGCCATTTGTTTCGTGATTTCTCAAAAGCCAGCACGAGCAACCGGGCAGGATCCTGGGATCCTTTTCTGTTGAATGGGCTTTCCTTATCCCTATGTGGGTATGGTGAGAACATCTTGAAAACATCTTGGAAGTCTTGCTTAGGCTATTCCTATAGGAAAGAATGTGGAGAGTGAATTGAATATAGATAGGTTTTGTATCTTGTGTTTTATTGACTTGATTCTCATTTTCCCCTTTAGCCAGTTCCTTAGGGCAGCTTAAGAGAAAAATTAAAGTTGCAGTGAAAAAAATATCAAAACAGCAGCAACCACGGTAGTATTAATGAGCAGTCAATGGTCAAAGAAATCATATCTGAAAAATGAAGGCAAAACAAAAATGGCTTGTTGTAAATTGTTCTAAGCTAAGGTATGCTTTCTTGAGGGTCACCTGGCAGTTTACTTTTATGTCATTTGGACACTAGGCAAAGACTTGTTCATTTTTCCTGGCCTTTTATTTATTTATTTATTTATTTATTTATTTATTTATTTATTTATATCCTGCCCATCTAGTCGACTGACTACTTTGGGCGGCTAACAACATATAGTATAAACAATTTAAAATATGGAAACAAAGTAACACATTAATAGACAGTGCTCAAGATGGAAAAAAGTAAATCAAGTAGTGGCTGGAAGGAAGGCTTGCCTAAACAGCTACCCTTTAAATTGACATTTGAAAATACCCAGCGAAGGGGCCATACGGATCTCAGAAGGGAGGTTATTTGCTTGTTGATTTTACATTGCTTGTTTCAGAATGTAATGGAACTATAAGAGAATTGTCTTACCAGTCCTAAAATTAACAAAAATGGAAGGCACTTGACAGCTATAAGAAAAAATAACAATTAACAAAAAATGTAACAGTTTTCAAAATTTCCTTACTTAATATGCACAATTTGAAACTACTGTTCTTTTTCTCAAGAGATTTTTAAAATCACCAAAGTGATCAGAAAACATAAGGTCAAAATTTAAAATATATTGAAAACGTATTTCTGTGTATACAGGATTACAGCAGACTGCTTTCTTAGAACGCAGTCGATTGTAGAGTTGGCCTATACAATTAATGCACATAATAAATATGTTGTAGTGCTGACAATTAAGTTTAGATGAAGTTATGCTTTTTTAACCAAACTCCGGGAGGCAGTGGAAGACAGGAGGGCCTGGCGTGCTCTGGTCCATGGGGTCACTGAGAGTCGGATACGACTTAAGGACTAAACAACAACAAATGCTTTCTTAATAATGTGCCAACTACTGCTTTTGAAAAGGAAGTACCGTATTTTTCGCTCCATAAGACGCACCTTTCCATAAGACGCACCAAATTTTTAGGAGAAGAAAACAGGAAAATATAATCTGTTTTCTTCGCTCCATAAGACTTTCCACCCCCCTGTTTTGTGGGGAAAAAGTGTGTCTTATGGTGCGAAAAATACGGTATCTGTTGTCATACCCTAATCTATATATATTTTTAGAAGTCCCTTTTAGAAGTTATTATAATTCCAAAATGTGGTGAATATAGTAAATAATTCAGGCTCTTCCAGAACATATTTCAGTTTTCTTCTTTTAAACCATAAGAACATTTCTCTTTTTTCTTCCCATATAACATATATAAAACTCTCCAAGCTTTTCTCATGCCACATATGCAAATATGTGTATGTTTTTAAAGGTAGGACAAAATGGCAAAGAAGAGGTGTTGTAGGCATTACAGCTAAATTTAAAGTAAATGGAAATGTGAGGAGTTGTGGGGAAATGTGGGGAGGGTTTGGAAGTGGAATGTTTTATTTTATGGAAATGGTCTCCGTTGTATTTTTTTCCTCTGGTGGATGCCTTGTTTTATTTAGCAAGTGATGTGCTGTTGCACTCTGCTGCTTAATGATTAAGTTTTCTTAGGAGGCTACATGAAGGCTGAGCCAGCCCTACCATTAGACAGAGTGGAGCAACTGTCCTGGGCAAAGGATGGTGAACGGCCTGGAGGGGGAAATGACAACATCTCTGTTGGAAGCATGCGCTGCCCTGTAGCTTCTGAGCTAACCTGATGTGGGAGATGACACTGTCCCCTCGCCCATTGGCAAAGGATGATTTGACTGCTTGTTTGCTGGCTTATGTGGGGGATTGTGGGAATATGGGGAACACCCTTTTGACAGCTTCAGTTTTGACAGCTTCATGGGCTAGCTGTGCATGAAGAATTGTGGGACACCATTTAATATATCTTGCTCACCATGTTGATCCGCCACTAAGATGCATTGGAATATGATGCAGGCTACAGTGCTATACTTCAGGGGTGTGCAATATCCTGGGCTCCAGGGCCACATTGGGGTCCATATGCAGATACATGGATTCTATTTCTTTTCAGGGAGAGCCTTCTCTCCTCCAAAGATGGGGAAAATGACTGTTTTGGACTGAAACTCAAAATGACCAGCCAATGGATTGACTGGGTATTCTGGGAGTTGTAGTCCAAAAGATAAGTTTTCCCCCCATCTGTGTTCTCCACTCTTCCCCACCATAAAGAGGGGGAAGAAACCCAATCTGTTTGAGTATTTCCTGGGGGAAGAGGGTGGAAGGCAAGCTCCCCAGTGTCTCCTTCAAGATCTAAGGGAGGAGGTGGGCACCCTTCTCTCTGCACCCTCCCTGAGCAGTTTTGTTTTCTTGATGGGAACAGTGACAACAAAAGCTCTTAGGGAGTTGCCTTTTCTCCCAAGGCTGCATATTAGACTTCCCTTTAGTAAGCTCCATGGGCATACAGGGCGCTATGGCCTTAGACACCCGAATGTGAATCTGTGATATCTGGTTTCCAACCCTTTGGTGCTATCATGTGTTAAGTAGGACCTTTTCATCCGGAACAAAGGCCATTCCTTGGCTAGTAGTTAAAAAGATACTAGCTAATGCAACATTGCACACAACATCTGTGGATAACTATATCATCTGTGATTGTTGAAGTTTTTTGTTCTAGTAATAATTTGATCATTTAGAAGAAATATAGTAGCTTTTCTGGGACAAAGATACCAAAAAGCTTTTGTTTTTCAATTAGTATGGAGGTTAAAAGGCAAAATCCGTATCTTTCCTTTTTTTTCTGCAGTAAACTGCAGCTTCAAATAACAAACAAAACAGACAAGCCTAGCAAGGATAAAAAGTTCAGAATCCAATAAAAGTGTAGATAATTAAAATGATCCAGACCAGACAACAGCAAATCCTAAAAAGCAATAGCTGCAGAGAGTCATCCCACAGCAGATATGGGGGTGGAGATGCCTGTTTAAAGAATGATGTAACTTAAAACTGAGAGCTGTTCACACCAAAAGAATATGAAGTAAAAACATTGCAAGGAACCATCTTGAAGCAGAATGGAATTCCAGAAAGGTTTATGTAGAATGAGGTGATTTCCACGGAAATCCTCGTCATACACACTTTCTAGGAACTTTAAGGTGAAAAGTTAGATCCCTGTACTGCATATGGAGACACGACAATAACTGAAGGCAGAAACATGTGTTACAGATAACTCATTGTTAGAGGGGGGAGTTTTTTAACTAGTGAAAGCATCTAAGAAAGGGCAGGATCTTTTCACATTGTACACAATTTACAAATTACCTCACTTTATTTTGTGATCAGTCTTCAGGACTTAAACACAGGATTACACTGAAGTCTCATTTCACAAACATGAAAGTTGCCTGGATTATATTTTTCCAACACTATTATACTTTGCACTCTAATCACAGAATTTTTCTGCTTTCGGCTTGCATCTTACACTCTTCCAACTCTGTTGTGCCAGTCTTGTCATTCTGACATGTTATCCGGCTGGACTGAAAGTTGAATAATGTAAATTAGTACAACTG